GGGAGATTATACTTATAGTCTTTGTAAGGTTTTCCATCAAATAAGGGTATGAGTCAATCCTCTGAAGAATTAATACCATACACACACTCCTCCTTGCTGACAGGCATTTTATTGGGCCACTTTTTCAATTACTTCTGCCAATGTCATGGGAGACTCTTTAATAATTGTGGTATTTTCATTTCATTTGTGGTATTTCATTTTCATTTGCTGGCCTGACCCTAACTTCAATGTTGAGCAAAGTCAAATTGGCTTTGAAACTTTGAAACCCTTCATGGTTCTTAATGAAATTTTATAAGCAACATATTCACCATGCTTCGCCCTTAAGTTCTCAAAACCCCTAGTCAACTTCTAAATTAACATTAGCCTTCTGAGCATCCCATGTTGATGCTGATATTCCCGAATTTCTCAGTAGGTGGTGATATTGGTATTTTGGGTGGGGCAATCCTGTATTGAGTGGGGCTGGCTTGTCTATTACAGGATTTAGACTTACTGAATCCTACCACAAAATGCCATTACTATTTTCTATGGAGACAACTGAAATGCCTACACATATTCCCAAACTCCCTTTAAAACTATTGTGTGGTGCTCAGACACTTTTATATCTCTAACCACTTTTCCTTCTTTCCTTCTTCATCAAAGTCCATACTTTAGGCACTGTGGTCTTCACGTGTTGCATGTGGCAGTCCTTGAAAACTGAGCAAGATTTGATCCCATTCTCACATGCAATGGTTGTCATTTTCTCAGCACTTTTACTAAAAAATTGTCTTTTATAATAAATAAAAATATGCTGCTTTTCACTAATTTTTCAAATGCTGTCACTGCTTTGGCAAATTCTGCACATAATGGAGTTAAAAGTTGTGTGTAGAAGACCTTACAAACTAAGCAAAGGCAGCACACACACATGAGCAGACCAAGTCCGGTGTGATGGTTGAAACTAAAATTCACTGTGCTGGAAGCCAGTGCAATTGCTGGAACTTGTTCAGGAACTTACTCATGCATAATGATCAGTGTTTGAAAACTGAAGTCCAAATGTATAGGAGGCCTATAGTATTATCCAAAGCAGACCGTGGTAGCAATGCTAATAAGGGTTCTTACTGCCACTCGTTGTAACTAAAGGACTTGTCAGGTCTACCAGGGAGCGACTTATATTCAAGAATTCTTTCATCAAGGATAAAAAGCTAAGAAGTCCTAATTTCGAATGGAGGCAATTGAAATGCCATCCCTAAGGGCTTACTTTTAGCATGCTAATGTTTGCATGAGAAACACTGACCTTATTAGAAGGTACTATACTTCATTTAAGTTGTAATTTAAAGGGGACAATAGTGGTCAATAGCAGCTGGCACTATTGGCTCAATAAGCAAAGCAAACAGCTTATTTTTCAACAGGTTTGATTTATACCAGGAAATATATGCAACTTCTTTGCTAGGGGCAGAGGCAGCTGTGAGATAAATGCATTTAACTAGGATTTACCTAGTAAGTTGGAAATGAGTGAAAATAAGAAGTAAAAATTATTATGCATCTGCTTTTTGTTTTTTATTTACTTAGACTCATAAAACTTTAAAACTCTTATAACTGGCAAGAATTTTCAAAGATAATATCTGGAGGATGATGGAAAAGCAGTGTGAGTTGCTCATATACTTTCTAGATATTGTAGTCATGATAAATACCAAATTTTGAGCACAGGTACAATCTTGGCTAAATCACCTGTGATTTAGATGTCAGCATCCTTGTACGTAGACCACCACTAGCAGGGCAGCCACGTGACTTTCCCAGTAATATTCGAGTTGCTCATATAGAAACCAACATCCCCTTGTGGCAGAGATTGTTCTTTGTCCCCTTGTATTTATTTTGTCCTTTTTCTTTTTCTTTTTTGAGAACAGGTTACCTGGAATCCTAATTAGTAAAGGATATTCACTTATATTCAAATAAGAAATTTATTTTCTTTCCATATATAAGTTTTCCCCAGAATTTTTTGAAACAAACCTATGTCAAGGTAAGCTTTGAGAAGAAGATGTCAGTATTCCACCATGGGATTTTGGAATTTTTGTTTTCTCACTAAGAAAAGATGGCACATTTACATTTTCTCTTCCAGGAACTTAATTTCATTCATATCAAAAGACACTGAGTGCTGACTGTGTGTAAAATACTGTAGGAGTCCCTAGAGATACAGAGAGGAAACAGACACAGTCCCTGCCCTCAAGGAGCTCACAGTCTACTAGGGAGGACAGCACAAATACACAGACAAATGCACTAGGAGATAGGATGCATATAATGTTAGAGATACAAGTGAGTTATATAGGAACATAGAGCTGGGAGAGAGGACTTCCATAGGGACAGGGAAGGAAGAAGTATCTCAGGAAGACTTTTTAGAAGAGATTGCATTTGAGCTACATATGAAAAATTGGTGGAAGAAAGATGTGAAGCCATGGAGGTGAGGTTTCTAAAGTAATGAAATCAAATGTTAAGGGAGTTGAGGAAGCACAGGTAATACGTTTTTCTGGAGCATGAAGTAGGTGAGAAGTGGTGAGATATAACTCTGCAAAGATAGTTTGGGGACTCATAGTAAGGGGACTTGAATGCTACACTATAGGTTATTACTTTATTTTTTATTGATAGGGAAAGAGCAAAGGATTTTGAACAATGCAATTAAAAATCTACCATATGCTCTAAAATAGTTACTCAAACTTTAGCTTGTTCAGAATCTCCTGGATGGCTTCTTAAAACAGAGATTAATTGTCTCCACTCTTAATTTTTGACTCAGTAGGCGTTGAATGGGGCCCTTGACTTTGCAGTTCTAACAAGTTCTCCGGTGATGCTAATGCTGCTAGTCTGGTGAGGCCTCAGTGAGAAACTTGCACTGGGAGAGGTGTGGGGGCCTAGCTGCAGGTGGGAGAATCCAGAGGCAGGTGGACCAAATAAGATTTGGTTCGGGAGAGAGGACCAACTTATTGGAGAGCAAGGTGGCATAAACACGTTTCTGTAGAGGTAAATTGACACGGCTTTGGACTATCTGGATGTTGGAGACCTGAGGCAAAGAGAGAATTACATTCATCTAATAGGAATGATAAAAAGCATGGTAATTCTGTTATCTGGGACTGAGAAGGTAGAAAGAAAAGAAAGCTTGAGTGTGGGAAAATTTTCTTGAGTTCAGTATAGAAAGGCTGCGCTTGAGGTACCAAAGAAATAAATATTCACAGGGAGAGGCTCACCAGATGGAACTCATGGGTCCGGAGTTTGAGAAAGAGAAAGATCAGGACTAAAGTCACAAACCTAGGAGCCACAGGCATGAAACTAATTGTTGAAATGGCAGAAGTTGGGATGGAATTTGGAGATATAGGACATGATTTCTGAGGACAAAGCCGCAGGAGGAAGGAAAGGCAACAAAGAATAAAGAGACAAGGAGGTAGTTGGAGAACCAGGAGAGCAAAATATCCTGGAAGTTATGGGCTTAAACAAGACGGGGATGGTTAGCTGTTGTAATTGATGAGAGAATGACAGGTAGAGAAACAGGGAAAGACAAATGCCAAGTCTCTAGTGATCTGTGGGAGATCAGTTTGGGGAGAACTGGGGTATACTCAGATGGAAAAGGATGGAAAAGTCAGTGGAAGGTGAGAAGTGGAGGCAGAATGAGTGGATTAATGACTGGGGAAACCCAGGTGAGAGAATTAAGGGAGAGATAAAGTAGGAGCTTGATGGGGAAGCAGGGCCAGAGAAAGTTGATTTCTGTGTCCAAGAAACTTAAGCAAAGTAATAGGTGAGATTAAAGAAGATTAGGGAGGAAAAGGGTTGGGATGGTGAGGGAGAAAGGAAGGTGCAGAGAGAGGTTGGGTGTAAGAAGTAGGATTCTAGAAAGGTTAAGACAGGATAGATCGAAGGACTAAAAACACGGAGGTGGAGAGAAGGCAAACCAGTCTTCTCACTATGAAGAAGAGCGAAGAGATGGGGAGAGGCTGTGCATGAGAGACTAGGAGCAGAGGATGAGAACAGTCACCTACCTAGGGGTATGCAAGAATGTACAAACTTTCTGTCTTCCTGCCATCACTCTTGACTTTGTAATGGCGTACTCCTCCATGTGACTAGAAAGATCATTCCTCCTCAGGCCACACCCATGGCCTCCGATCCCACCTGCAGCCTCCTGGCACCAGGGTACAGTCTGGCATGGAAGCCACAGGGATTCTGGGAGATGCAATTTCATTTTCATATACTGTTGCGTGGCCTTTGCTGTAAACACAGATTTTCAACTTTTATTTTTTTGTTTTTCTGAAGAGCACAACTGATAATGCTTTTTTTTTTTTTTTTTTTTTTTTTTTTTAGAGAGTTCCTTTTTTTTCCAGGCTGTAGTTGGGCGGTGGTTGTGTGTGGAG